GGGGGGGGGTAGAGTGACAGAAAGGGGAGGAAAAGAGAGTAAAAGAGAGTTGCAAAGGCAGAGGACGTACAGGATTCTCAGATGAGACCAGAGAGTAACAGGGAAAGGAGAGAGAAATGGGGAGAGAGGAGGGAAAAAGAGAAAGGGAGTTAGAGCAGTAAGAGGGAGTGGGAGGAAGAAAGAGCGAGGATAGGAGGCAGCGCAGCGCAGTGTGTGTGTGTGTGGGGAGGGAGAGAGAGAGAGAGAGAGAGAGCTGTAGAGACAGGAAGCCTCCACTGCTACTGAGCCAGTGAGACGCAGGCAGGCAGAGAGAGAAGACGGAGAGAGAGGAGGCCCTCGGCATCTCCCAGCCCGGTCCAATGAGGGGGTGAGGGGCTCAAGAGCAATACAACAGGGAGAATAGTGGGAGGAAAAGCGGATACGGAGGGGAAAAGGCAGGGCGATAAAATCAGAAACAGGCTTCAGCAGGAAAAGGGGAGTAGGTGGGTGGGATCTGAGATGAGGAGGAAAAAAAGCAGATAAAAGTTTTGGAGACAGAGTCGGAGAGAGAGAGGGAAGAGGAAAAGAGACTGAAGATAGAGCGGATTGAGTCTATGTTAATGGCAAAGGTAGGAGAGGATTCATGGAAAAAGAGGAGGAAGCTCTCTGTCTCAGGGGTCCTCCTGTTCGTCTTCTGCGTCTTCCTCTTTTTGTGAGGCTGCTGGACATCATCCATCACTATGTTCTCTGACAGCAGGGCTCCAGCGCCGGGGGAGCAGAAAGGCTTCAAGCCCCATGCCCCCAACTTCATCCCCTGGCTGCGCAATAGTCTGAAGCCCCACCACAGCAGTGACCTGGGGCTCAATGGACCGTACAAATCCAGCTCAGAGGCCCGCAACAACCTGACCCCGCTGGAGAGAGCCAAAGGGATCGGGTTCTTCTCAATCCAGGGAAAGGACCGGGCAAAGAAGGGGGAGGTTCGGTGCAACGGCGTGGGGATGGCGAGAATGCTGCCAGTGGTGCTGCGGGGTCACCACATCCTGCCAGGGAGTCTGGGGAAGCAGAGGGAGGACCGTCCTGCCATGCGGAACCAGCCTCCGGAGCCGGACCCGCTCCCTAACACGCAGAGCAGCCCAGGGGACGAACAGCAGGGTCTGAGCAACAGCTCCACATCTGCCCAGGACAACCACACCTTTGTTAGGAACCACAGCAGCCACCTGAGCGTCCTTCAGTCTCAGAATGACGGGACTAGCACCTCGGTCAGGAAATATGGGCCACTAGTAAGACCCCCTCCTGTTCCTATACCTGCACTGCTCGTTGAAGAGCCAAACAGTAAGGTAACTGTTGTGGTGGACATGGAGGACAGGAGGGGGAAGGTGTGGGACTACGCCAGCAGTACCACCTACCGCAAGAGAGACCTCCATTCATCCAGCTGGGTGAGCTCAGACACTCAGGGACTAACAGAAAGGCAGCACGGCTTCACCTCCAGCTTCAGGAAATCCCAGAGCCAGAGAGACCTGAGGGAACCACATGTTCAGCATTTCAACAGGCCCCACAATGGAGTCATCATCTCCACCAAGGTTCCTCAGAGAGGCCTGGGCTGCACCACAACTCTACGAGGCCCCAGGAAACCTAGACCAAGCTTGGAGGGTATCGCGGCCCTGGGCCAGAACCAGACATGGGTCCAATACAGGCCGACCAAGGGAGGGGAGTTACAGAGGAAGGAATCAGGCTGCAGCAGGAAGGTGGTTCGAAACCAGATCAAACGGGTGGTGGATCACCTCGAGCAGGTTCTTACAGCGCTGAGGGACGTTCACCAGGAAATGAAAGAGGTAATATGTTGGAAATTTGTCGATTCTGTGTAACATTTCACCTACACTATCATGTCTTTCCTGGACCCAAATGAAAAGCAAATCAGTTCAGATCAGGAGCAGAGACGTTACTGAATCCTCTCACATTAATTTAGTTGTTTCCTCATGCAGGAAATATTCATGCTTATGCTATGAAACCTTGAGGGCTTGTTCTCTTACAGATAACAATGCAGGCTACAAATACACATCCTCAGCAGAATTTAACACGCATTAAAAAGTCAGCACTAGGGTTGGATGAATCCACTGCAGTCTGCAAACTGTTTCTGCAACTCTCCTCTGTCATCTGTCTCCAAGCATACACAGCACTTGTTCTCAATTTGAGTGTACGTTTTCATAGAGGTGAATGAAACAATAGTTGTGCCCCGTTTGCATGATGCATTAAGAGGCTGCTGAGATGTGACATGAGCTGAAGCAGTCGCCTTCCTCGCTGCATCTCCCTTTCTGTCTTTCCTCCTCTAACATCCACCCTCATCTCTTCCTCCACTCTCCCTCCCCATGGACAGATGCTGCTCCAGGCACAGCTGGATAGCGTTTTTTAATCCATTTATGTCTGAGTATCTCTGCCTCGTATTCCTCGTCCAGTAAATGTGACACGTGAATCTCGCCTCTTGGCATTTGATCTGCATCCACGGGGTCGCGGCTAAAGCCGAAGTAGTAACCTCATCATTCTGGCTGCGGGGTTTAAGTGTGTGACAGCATTAATAAAACACTGATGAAAGAGCATATAAGCTACACGAAAAGAAGGGAAAGGAGGCGTGGGGGGGGGGGAAGCAAGCTGACACTGTGATAGAAAAGCCCAAATTTTCACAACAGAGACGACAGATCAAAGGAAGATAAGGCACCAGAGAAGACTTTGGTCACATATTTATTTCAAAGCCCTGTTTTATCATTCTGTTGCATGAGAAGTAACCCTCAGACTTCTTTAATAATCAATCACTGGAGTGAGCCTTTAAAGCATTTTAGACCGAGACTACATACAAATATTAAAACACTAAAGACCTCCGTCTCAGAAAAAAATATATCAAAAAAACAAGCTCACGCATGAATATGGTCTTCTACTAAGACACTTTGACAGTTTAAAAACGACACTATGACTCAGAGGGTAAAGCAAAACAACAATATTTAAACTGAATTAGTTTTATGAAACTCACATGAATGACATCTACAACAAAGATCTTTCAGCACTCATCCGCACTAGATGTGAGGACCAGGGGGGTCAAACAACATCTTTTTTAATAAACACTCTTGGGAGAAGCAGACGAGGGTCCTTTTCTCTTTTATCTCCTCTAATTTCTGACATTAACAAGCAGCCCAGAGCCACATACACATGCTGTACTTCAAAGCAATATGAAATGCCTCTCCCAAAAAGCCTCAGCATTAAAAAAAACAGGTCATCTTTTGACATCAGCAAGGATGTTGTTGAACACAGAGAACAAAACAATAATTCATCTGTACCAGCAGGGGCCGCGGATTTAGCTGTGCAGGTGGAGAGATAGGTCAAACATTTTCCCCAGTGTAATTTTCTACAATCTCTCCTGCCTTCATCATTGTACATGTGTGTGTGTGTGTGTGTGTGTGTGTGTGTGTGTGTGTGTGTGTGTGTGTGTGTGTGTGTGTGTATGTGTGTGTGTTACATGCTCTGCACTCATTTAAATATATCTAGAAGTGTATGTCTGTATAGTGTGCTTTTCACTATAAGTCTTAGAAGGGTAACCCACCTAAATTTTGCTTATACATTTCCCATAATACATTGTTTCCAGGCTGAGGTAAACATTTTTTGCAGCTCGTGTGACATACTTACAGATTGGAGCTGTACACCTGGTGGGAGTCCACTTCTGTAAGAGTCTGAAATGCTCCAGATTATACATGCAGAAATGCAAATGCAGAAGAAAATAATTATGCAAACGTTATTATAAAATATTGCCATTACTAAATAGAGGCTACCGCTGAGATTGCTTTTGTTATCGATCATTTTATAAAGAAAAGTCTTTATGTTAATATAGTGTTGGAGCGGCCTGGTGGAATAGGGATTTAAACTGCTGATCTCGTGTCAGTGTCCTCGGTTTCAATCTGGCATGTTGGATCTCTCCTCTCCTTCCCTTCATTTCCTGTCGCCTCTGCACTACTGTCCAAATAAAGGCTAAAGAAATTCCAAAAAATATTTAAAGTGTTGAAGTGCTTAGTCTCTCAATTGACGAGAGGTCTTGTGAAGATTAATCGAGTTATCAAAATTATTATTTGGCAAAAATGCCAGATATTCTCAATAGATTCTCAACTGTGAGGATTTCTAAGAATTTATTCAGCAGCTCAAACAGCAATGAAAATAATTATGAGTTTCAGATTTTCATTAGGGTATACTCCACCGATTTGGTATTGCACTTTTATAATGTCATAATAGAAATCAAAGCAGCAGAGGTCAAGTTTTCCAGACTTTTAGTCTCTTTGTGGGTCGAGTTCCAAAAACTCTGGATCCTACATTTCCCAGAATGCAACTCAATAGAGTCTTTTCATTAGGCCTTCCCTGCCTCATACACATCCAAGTATTTTCGTTTGAGTTTGTAACTCAGGCTCTCTGTTATAAAAAGTCTGGGACCCCGAGCTGACATAAGCCTGATGACATCACTATGACGTCATCTAGCTTATTTTTTTCAAACTAGAGAGCTCCCTTCAGAGCCACAGGAGACATTATATGACTGTTTTCACAGGTTGAAAGTACTTCCAAGTACTTCTACTATTCTTAATCATCACTATGCTGTATGTGTCCTTCATAGGTGGTGCAGCAGATTGACCATCTAACCTCAACTATTGATCTGAATGCGGAGGAGCCCGAGAGAGGTGACAGTGCCAACCCTCCCAGCGACAGCAGCTCCAGTTCAAGTTCCAGCTCCAGCTCCAGCGAGGTGACGGTGAGCAGCATCCACAGGAGGCCCTCAGAGCCCTCAGAGCGGACTGGAATCTCAGACTCATCTGGCAGCCTCAGGAGGGGTCATCACAGCAGGAGCCAGTCTCCACCACATGTGCTGCTGTGCCCTGTAACCTCTGGGTTTTCATCAGAGCGGAGTCAAACTCTTCGATTCCCCTCCAGTCTGAAGTCTTCTCTCGGACGCGGTGGGACGCTGCAGCATGATGTCACTTTGTCTCCTCAAGGAAGCCTCCCTGTTCGGCCTCCTACTCCCGGTCTCTCCCCTCTAACAGTAAACCTCCAACACCTTAACAGCCCTGGGTCTCAGCCTCACTCCCCTGGGCCTTCCTCCTCAATCAGAGTCAGCCCTGTACCCCCTCTGTCTCCAAAGTCTTACCCACCCCCCACGCTTAGCCCTTCTGTCACCATAGAGAACAAAATCGGTACCTATCAGACCTCACAAAGTGGCCACCCATCTGCCGTTCTGCTCTCTCCATCATCGGCCCAGCCTCCGTCTGCCAGCTGCCCACCAACCGACTCAACTCAAACTGTGTCCAACACTGTGAGAGAGAGGCAAGTATCCTCAGCAGGACCCGCTCACAGACCTTCACAGGTGTGCTCTGCCCCTGCAACCACAGCTAAACCAGCAACAGCCGCGGGCCGCAGAGGTCGCAAGCCTCCTCCGTACCCCCACCACGTATCTTCTGAACACACAAAGAAAGTGAAGGAGCCCCGCAAAGCTCCTCCGTACCCTGAGAAAAGAAGGCTGCTCTCTACCACAGTGTGAGACAATGCAGCAGGAGGGGGAGGCTGATCGAACAGAGCCACATTCACACAGCAGCAGCCGCAAGAGTGGAGAGCGATTCAAGGCTCGCCAAGCTGAGCTGAGGCCAAGTTTCCAAGGTGACAGGACGCAAACGCAACTTGGGGTGAGTATGTCAGGAAGAACAGCTTGGCTTCTGCGGACGTCCTTTTCCCGCTTCTCCTTCTATACCAAATCTCTTGAGTATATACGCAGAACATACACAGGGCATCTTCACATCTGTCTGGGTTACTACTATGGTAACAAGAGCCTCTATACAGATGCTCAATTCCCCCCCCAGCTCTCAGACTCCCACAGATTGCAGAGTTAAAGGGCAAAGGAGAAGGCCTAATTAGATAGAAATATGAAGGAAATTGTAATTATTGCAAAATAACAAGACGAAGTGAGGACTGATTACTTCAGTGCACTTCAACCTAAGCAGCCAGACATACCCACTCACATGTATCAGCATTGTCTGGGTTAGATAATTGCTGTCAAGAGCCGTGAAGGTTTAACGAGAACTCAGTGCAGCTCAGGGTACTTTGGCTCAGCGGTGTGAGAAGCACGCGCTGGGGAAGACAGGCTGTAGATGTGTGATAGAGCACATGATGTGAAGAACTTAGCAAGGCCAAATAAGAAGTGAACAGGCCGAGTGGCTACGAGCTGACTAGGTCACCGGCCCAGCGCCTGGGTGCGCATCAGGGGAGACAGCGGGCAGCTGGCCCTTCGTTGTACCCTTCACCGGGCCCCCGGTGTTACTAAAAGCCTCTGGTTTGACCGACCGGGTCACAATCTCCATCTGTTCCCCTCTAAATGTCAAGAGATGCAAAGAGAGAGAAATAGGAGGCCGGTGTGTGTAGAGTGGAAAAAGAGGAAAACAAGCACTGGAATGTCTGCCGCATTGATTACATACAACAGAGCAAATCAATGGCTTATTCATTGAGGTCATCTGATGTTGTCTGTTATTTTAATGCCTTATGTGGCTCTTTTTTTTAAAGAGTAAAGATGTTCTCATATTCTATATTTAATTTTATTGTTGACAAATAAAATGAAAAGAGCAAAACCAACAATGTGTTTTTGAAGAAGTAAATCTTAAAAGAAATATTGACAAATATGAAGCTATATGTGCAGAGTTATTAGAAAACGAGCCGTGGATTAATACACACATTTGGTGCTCTTGAGAGCATTTACAGCAGCAGGACGATGTTTGTGGGAGTGACTAAAAATGGATCACAGTGTGTGTGTGAGAGTGCTAATGAAAGAACATATCATGCAGTGCCACAGTGTGGTCCAATGACCTATTTTGAGGTCCGTGGCACAAAGGAATTAGCTATAGATCACCTGGCGGAGAACTGCACTCTAGTCAGCGCACCTTTCTAATTTTGCGTGAACTTGGTTAAATAAGTATTGAACAAACTGACATTGACACTGATCATGCTCTAGAGTTAGGACCCCCAGGATTCAAAGATACATTTGAGAGGAAAACAGAGAAAAGCATTTTCTTTTCACACAAAGCTGTGCTTATCTGGCAGACTTTCACAAATTACTTCTTCAGGACTCTAAGCAGGAAAAACAAGTCTCTTTGATTAATCTGATCACAACTAGTAGACATATTACTAATGATGAAGGGCGACAAGTAGACATTGCATTGTGTTAATGGGTCACAAGCCAAAAGAGTTCAAGAACCATTGTATGATTTTACTAAAAACCCTAAATGCCATTGGTCTGCTGGTGTCGCTAAAGTAAAAGTCAGGGGGACACCCTGACTTTTAGTAGGGTTCATCCTCTGGGGACCATAACTGTCTGTGTGAAATCCCATTGAATAGTTGTTGAGATATTTCAGTCAGTATGAAAGTATTGGACCGACTGATCCCTGGAGCGGTTTTGCAAGCATAGCTAAAATGTTTTCTGATTTCTCTTTAATGCACGCCATCATAATCTAAGCCAGTTCTTGGCAGCATTACGTGTGTATATTTCCCTGATGGTCGCACTAGAGAGGGGGAGGAAAGTTGAAAGTAAACGTCTCTACTGGTACCAGATGGTAAACAGTAGTGATATGAGTTCAGGGGTTTGGATGACAGCATAGAGGCAGCTTTGAGTCTCAGACACACTGTGAACTGGCAGTAATCAAAGAGATGTTGTGAACAACCACCTCGAGAACAAAGTGTCACTTTTCTTTCTCCACAGCGCCACAACACTGGAAATCAGAGTCTGAAATGGTCACGTCTCTATAAGATGATTTGATTACAAATAGGAGACTATGTGGGGGTTTCTTGGCAAAGCTCTACTAAAGTGTTACTATACAATAGATCTTCTCTCAATGCACTGCGTGGTTGCAGTATAAACATGTGACTCTTGTATCACAGATTTCAACCTCGCTGATGCCAATTTGACTGCAATCAAGATGACTGATTTTTTTCTTGGCTTGATATAAAATGAATAAATCCCTCCTGACCCTCTATCCCTGTAAACTCACAAAGATCAATGCTCTATACATTCCCATATGTGCCTCTGGATTTATTAGATCCTCCCTGCAAAGCCCTTCTCCCCAGAAATCAAGAAGAAACAATGGAAGCTCTTTATCTCATGGAGCCATTTACCCGAGGACGATATATGTCAATTGAGTACACTTACAGAATACATTTTTCCTAATGCTTATTATAACATAAAGATTCATATGAAGTCTTATTTCTATGCTTAAAAACCTCGCCGCTGTATGCAGCATACAGGCCGAGTTTAAATTAGGAAAACAGTCGTGCTGGTACTAAAATTAGTTATTTTAGACAGATATGACGGGGGCATAAAAACGCTCTCCGCCATGTTCACGGTGGCCCGGCTCTGACAGTGCTAAGAATATTTAATGCCTCTACGCTGGCACTCAAATGTCTTCTCTCGTTTCATGTTTATCCTTTTCACGAGGCTGTGGGAGGTTCAATCAGATCATGACTGACATAACAAGACACAAAACATTGAATTATCTCCAGCACAGTGACAACATGTCTTTATTCAAACATCCATCACATTTCATCATGAATCAGAACAAACAAGAAGTAGAAAAGAAAAGAAAAACCATGTACAAAATAAGCAACGTCGTTTCGTTTTTTTCTATTCTGGAACAGCATCCGGACGTGGTTGCTTCCTGTTGCGACCCCAGAGGGAGCCTCAACGGTGGTGACACAGGGACACACAAACGTCCCAAGCTGAGCGTTTCCTCAACTCCAGAGGATCCGAACCCCGACCAAACAAGGTACGAATCTCAGCGAGTAATCCGACCGCAGAATCAAATCAGCACAATCCTCAAATCTGAAATCAATCCCCAGAACTCATCTTGCGGACACTTGTGTGGATCTTAGAAGATTGGATCAATGTAAGGGAGATAAAGGCGAGTCTGCTCGCTACATAAGGGAGCATGTACTTCAGAAAGCTGCACAATACCCTCGCTGATCCACACACGTTACAGTGAAGGATGAAAGCAGACGGTTCAAAAGGGGATCAGGATTATGTGATGACATTTCTTCTCCATATATACACTATGATCCACCTTACATCTTAGTTCCTTTGGGTTGAATCTCCAACAGTGTAAGTGAGAAGTCATTGAAATATCCTGAAATTAAAAAATAGAGAAATGGTTGCATCTTCTGCTGCAGGTGTCTAATTAAAATGATCAAGATCAAGGTATTTTCAAACAAAATAATTATTCTTTAAACTAATTACTTACATCACACCGACACTGTTGAAGATTTATCTCCAAAAAGGACTGATCTTCAGTGTGTTCAGTACATCTTTCTCTTACCGTCTGCTCTATTACAAGTATACCCCTTCTGGCCAAAAGCACAAACATAACAAAAAGTGATCACAAGTGGTACCGATTGGTGATTTAGGGGATCAAATGTGTGGTTACAGTTATCTAAACGGATAAACATAAACAGAAAGCGAGAGCGAGGAGCTCAGCTCAGAACAGAACAAGATTGAGGAAAATGTAATTGTTTATGAGAGCGTGATGACGCTATTGGAGATTATTCCCTTTTCCTCTCAGGATTACACGAGACAAATAAATCCCTCCCTACTCTAAATGTGCTATCTATACTCAACAAGCCCCACACACCAACCCTCTATACATTCAGACATGTCCCCAGTGAATCAGAACAGATTTACTCTCTGTAAATCTTACAGCTTCAGAAACTAAGAAATAACTATGGAAGCACTTTATCTTATGGCAGAATTTAAACTAGGACGTTGAGTAAAAAAAAAAAGAATGTGAATACTAAACTGATGGTGGAAGCTGGTTTTAGTCCAAAGCAGCATTTTCAAATCCACTGTCATAACATACCAGGTAATTCATTTACTGACACAGTATCAGCATCATCCCACTTCAGGTTTTGGTTGTTTCCTTCATTGACTACTGAGCTGAAACACAAGAGGCCCGACTCACAGCTCTACACATGAAAGCCAAAATCAGACACCAATTACAGCTCATCGTGTCCTGTTCGTCCGATGGCGGTCAGTTTGGAGAGTTGAGCGCTGAATTTTCCATCTGTGTGGGTCACTGGAGGTCAGAGAGGAGAGCAAATTGCGGTCACAGATAATATTGAAACAAAACAAGGACATACAGCGTCACTGATGCAAAGCACCCGAGAACCAGCCAGTATCATCTGACTGCAGTGCCAGCAGTTTGAGACCTGCCGGTCGGGTCCAACCTGCACTGCCTGCTTGCAAGTAAAGCAACAGCAGACGCAGATCAGATGCGCAGATGTAGATGTGCGCCGTCTACAGGAAAGTGAAGTAACGGCTGCTGCAATTTAGAAACTAATGACACCAACGAACAAGTGTTACAACTGCAATTTCATGTATTCTAGGTGCTGCTTGTGCTTGGAGTTTAAATGTAACAGTTTTGTTCACTAGAGCATATTTTCCTTTAGAATGAGGAAGACCTTTGTGTTGATCTTGCTCATAGTGTATCTGCTGTCCAGATTACTTTGGTGATACAGTAATGTCGTACATTTCTAGAAGTTATTTTCTAACCAACTGATGTTTTAGATGTGAAAACCATGGATGTATACAGAGAGCTTTGTGCTGATCCGCCACTCAGCCTTGCTGCCAGTTTGTCCCAGTGGTCATTTGTGGCAGTGCAATAAAAAACAAAGTCCCCATAGACCTCCATTATAAAGACACATCAGAAAAAACCTCAAACACAAAGCTATCCGCAGCTTTAACAATCTGCAGTTGTGACACTAATTCCCTTCTAGGTGGCACACATGGTAGAATTGTGAAAACTGTCACTACATAACATCTATTACAAGCACCTACAAGTCTAAACTGCAGTGACTTCTCTGTCCTATAGGTGGTGCACGTTGGGACGTGTACAACTAGTCTAATAGTGATTGAACAGTTCCTCTTTGTGGTGAATCGGCTTCTAAAAGAGTAATTTACCTACTGTACAACTGTTAAGGAGTTTATCCCGCAAAATCATGACTGGAGGAGTTTCCCCAGAGGTGTCACAGAGATGGGATTATCCTTAAATCTGGGATAGTTGCAGGAAAATGAGCATATAACCCTCTGTACTGTCGTGACTAATCTGCTGTTACAGTAAATTGCCGTGCGATTTGTCAAATCCTGCTAATCACAGGCCGGAACTGTAGCCACAGCGGGGAATTTTTTTTTTTTGTGCAAAAACCGAACAACAACAAATAATGCCACAGGGACAAACTGCAACCCACTCACAGCTGGTGCATATGCTTTAGAGGAAAATCAGCAGGGAGCTCGCAACGTGATGAGGGCAGGGAGGGCGCGAGAGATTGACGTGTCAAGCGGAGGGAGTTGATTGAACACTTGCAAATACAATCAATTCCTCACCTGTTGAGTCTCCTACGGTAAATTCCTCCGGCTTCAAAGGCATGTCACTTTGTCCTGCAGCCGCCGTCTGAGACTGGAGAGAAATACAGCAGCAGTGAGGAGGAGGAGGAGGAGGAGGAGGAGGAAAGGAGAAAAATAAATAAATAAACAAAAACAGGATGAGAGGCGGAACACGACCGGCCCGTCTGCACCAGACGGGCCGGGAGAGAAGAGGAGGATGTGACGACAAGGTCAAGGAGACGCTGTGCGTGGGTGGCAGGTGTGCGTTTGTGTACGCGAGGTCATTTTCGTCCCGTCGTTTAGTGGAGTTGTTTTCTGTGCGTTTGTCTTCTGCTTGCAGGGCACGGAGCCAGAGCGGGGAGGAGGAAACATGTGCTCTCACTAATGACAGAATGTCAGGACTGCCCTTGCTGGGGGAAGGAGGCGTGTCCACGTGCGCCTCACTTCAGCGACGACCACATCAGACACGGCAGACCTCCGCTAAGTGACTGAGCTCAGGAACACTCCGGACATTAACCTTCATTGAAACATTAAGTGCAAAGACACGGAGAGTTTGACTTCCAGGAGAAGGAAAGCTTTTCTGTTACTATGCCCGTGCTAGTTCGTCATAGGTTGGTCTTAGCTGGAACCATCATTAAAGGACAATGGACCAAAAAATGTCAGGGACAAGTGAAGCATGTGATGGGTTACCATGGATACACAAGTGTGAGGGGGGGAGGGTGCAGTAAAGAAAAAAGGGACAGCATGTTTTATTCTACTCAGGACTGTGTGGTCAGGTACATTCAGCGGTGGCTCTCAGGCGATGTTAGGTGACGTTTAATCCTGCATATGACGGAGGTCTCCAGAAAACCTCATTGTGGTGGTGGGGGGGGGCGTGTCCCTAGCATTACTTCTTTGGTTCAGAGTATTAAAATACTCTGACAGAGTGTCAATGGTTTTTCTAACTGACTGTTATATTTAGAGCTGAAACAATCAATTAGTTGACAGACAATGCAAAACATTCTCTGGCTCCAGCTGCACACATTTGAAGATTTGCTGCTTTTTTTGTTTGCTTTAAATCTTTATAAATTAAATGTCTTTGGGGTTTTAGACTGTCGGACAAAACAAGAAACTTTAAGATCTTGGGCTCTGGAAACAATGGACATTTTCGGCTATTTTATAAACAATCAATTCAATCATTAGAAAAATAATAATTTAATTGCCAATAAAAAATAGTAGTTTGTAGATGTATTGAAACAGCACTTAATGGAGATAAGGTCTGGCTACACGACTTTGGTGAAACTCCTGTTTATGATTTTACACAGAAATGTTACATTCACACACACGTGCATATCCAGGAAAGAGGCCCGCTACGGCGAAATAATAAATTGTGTCATTACATGTGATAATGATCTTTGCACAAAAGACAAAATGTGTTTACAGCCACCAGCTTTGTGGTAAAAATAATAAATAAAAGTTAAAAAACCCTGCCTTAATCTTCTCCCTAAGCCTCTGATAGACATATTGCTGGTGCATAGGTGGATGGTTTAATATTTGCAGGCTACGCAAAAATGTTCATCAACTGTGTTCTGCCTCGATTTTCTGACATTTGTGCAGACACTGTAAATCTAACGCTCTAAAATGGTTTTGGGGCGAAGGTATGAGAAGCTGTAATCTCCACACCGACAGAGTGCATTAAAAAGTGTGCAGCTCCATCGAGGAACAACTTTTTACTCCACTCGGTCTTTGTTTGGCAGTAAAGTCTTGGGAGCTTCTTGCTGCCCAACATCAGGCTCCAGTCCCACTAATCACTCTGAAGGTCATGTCTCGCACCTACAGCGTCACAACTACATTCTGCAGGATGTGGGGCAAAGTGGCTGCTAATGAATTACAACCATGAGGGCAAGGGATGTGCAAATCTTGTTTTTTTTTAAGATAAAACATGTAGTTTTTGGGTTAACTTGGTATTTTGGAAGAAGGAAGTCAGCGTCAGCATAAAGATAAATGTAAAAGATCCGTTTCTTCAATTGTTGTGTTTAACTTTTATAAAGTGTGACTTGTTTTTTTACGATATGACTGAACGAGAGACACACAACAAACTGACAATGTCACACAAATATCAAGGTGCAACTGACACGAGACATGTTGTATGTGGTTTCCTTAATCCCTATATTGGCCGGATGCCATTATTGAATTCATTATACATTAAACGTTGGCTATCCCTGTCGAGGAACAGGATCGGTTGACAACATAAAGACGAAGTCATGTGAACGGGACGGTTGAGGGAATTGTGTTTCTATTATACTTACATAAGCATTAGCATATTGAATTTTGGTTCCTTTCAGTTCAGCTTTGAACTGAGTGAAAAACAAGTAGGATTTCCCCTGGGGCCTGTGGCAGAAACGAAAAAGAAATAATTGTTACCAACATTGAGTCATTTGCATGTATTCATTAAGTCGAAGCTGGACATGAATATATTTAAACCAAGAGGTTAGAAACTATTGTTTCTCCTCTACAATCAAAGAGTGACTCAGTGGAAAGAGGCGGGACAAATTCTCACTGAAGACACACCGAACATCAGGGTCACTCAGCTGGAGAAGAGTCTCACCACAGTGTGTGTGTGTGTGTGTGTGTGTGCGTGTGTGTCTGTCTCTCACCGCCACACGGAGCAGGAAAACAATTTGTCGTCGTCACTCAGACCCACACTCATCAGCCATTGCTGTTTGGCACAAAAACAGAAGAATAGTTATGCATAAAACCTGCTGTGATTAAAAATCGATAAATCGATAACATGATGAGAGAGAGAGAGACTCACCTCGTTGGTTCCCCCTTGTGAAGCATAAGTGAATGAGCACTCATACTCCCTCTGAAATAAGAGAGTGTAACATAATGCTAATTAGTGCATCATTAAATCTGCATATCACTTTCATTATTGAGTTTTCAATTACATTTACGTGCTATTAATAAACACCTTTCATCAATCTACTAATTCTCATCGGGCGTTTCTGAACTAGAGGGGAAATGTCAGAGTGCTGCTCAGTTTCAGAGACGCGTGTTGATTGGATTTCATATAAATTCAGTTTTTAAATCGAGCAAACGTTCTTTTCTGCAGCTCCACAAAGGCAGAGATTAGCTTGCTTCTCTTGGCTTCACATCGTTATAAACTCAAAGGTTTGCGTGTTATGATGGCGCAATAACAATGTTTTAAAGACATCAATCTGTCCGCTGCTAAAGACGTTTGTCACCTGCCTACGTCCTAGAGGAAAGGCCCAGTTGTAAATGTTACACTTGATATTGTGCACGAGGGATCACTGCTAAGCTAGAGCAGAGCGATGAATCAATAACATCCCTTCTTGCCTTTCAGCAAAATCACTTCATGATAAATGAATTCTATTGCCCAAAGTAATGACGTGTACAAAACAGTAATCACAAACTTAAAAACTGGTTATCGACTACGCTTATACACATTTTAGTCTTGTGTAATGCAAAACAGTGGAAGGCAAGGCATCGCTTTCAACATCGGTTTGATCTTATTTAAGACTGTGCAAACATTTTCCATATTGGAATATATGGACACGTGATTAAGTAATTAATAGATTAATTAAAAGAATAATTGTCTTTTGTCAGAGAGACATCATTTTAAAAACCTAACTTTACCCCCAATGCCCTGCATGCACTCACTGCCTGTCTCACGGACATTAACGCATGTGTGGATGGGTAAAAACATTTTAAATCTGAGATGAAGAAAATGCTGAGATTATTTTTAATTGGATCCAAAGCAGCACTGAGAAAAACTGCACTCAGTGTTTGGTGGCAAACAGATTAAAACCGACATCACAAGTGATTTTAGGCTATGATTTAAATTAAAATGTTAACAATGTCATTAAAACACCCTTTTATCAATTAAGTGATATCGACAAAGTCCGGAATTTTTTTGACTTTTGTAATTCCCTTTTCACTGGATTACCTAAACCGCCCATAAGGAAACTACAGCTAGCACAGCAGTGAGGCTTAACTAAAACATGGACATTGATCACATTACCCATCTCCACTGGTTAGCTGCATCTTTTAGAATTGATTCAAAAGTTATTTTACATTAAAGACCTATTATTTTATCTGGCTTTTAATTTAGAGTAATGTTATAGCCTTGTTTTTAAGCTTAAATCATTTGTTGTTACATGTTTTCTTGTATGGTGTTCATTTCATCTTTTGTTTATTGATTTTAACATTTGATTGTTCTAATTTTAGTCCAGCAAATGTTTTATTTATCGTTGGCTGTTGTTTTGTTTCGACCCCTCTAAGTGAAGCTGCATGTATCTTATGTATGAAAGTCGCTCTATACACATAAATAAATAAAGTTGAGTTTCAAACTCTACAAAAAAGCAGTTCACAGGCATGCAAACTGTGAACCAATGAATGGAGCCACTGTGGCAGCGAGGCAGCGACGTGTCGGCCTCTCACAGGCTGTGTCGTCATCACGCAGTAGTTTTGTTTTTCCACGCATGTCATTATAAATCATACCAAATACATTAAAGATGTGTGACACACTACAATGAAAGAAACACACCTCTTACTCACACACAGTGGAATTTGTGATGTATTCAATCCTGTCATTATTCTGCTCAGCTACTTAATAATAACAATGAAGATAATTTCACACACACGGTGAGTTAGCCCACATTCAGACGTGCACGCTTAGACGTTAGCATAACTGTGGCTTTGTGTCCGGGTGGTGTTTAGAAACGTCAGCTGGTCGTGTAAAAACAAAAAGACAACAAGACACTCACAATCCCCTCAGTGAACGTGTGCACCACTCCTCCCGGTTTAACGTTGAACTCCACCGTCTTCGTCCCGCCAGCAGCTGCATCAACCGGGACTAACGCGGCATTCCACACGAATATGAGCAGAAACGACAAAGTCGCAGCACTGAAGTTATTTTGCGTGGCCATCTCTTCCTCCTCAGATGTGCGGCGGTGTGTCGCTGTGAGTGGCTTCCAGGGAAACCGGTATTTCCCTGTCGTCTCTTGATGACGTCACATCACGCGTCCACATACCAAAGACCAACACAAGCAAACAAAATATGAAAAAAAGATTAATATCTCGACAGCAAAGTAGTATAAGAATACACTCCTGGTTGATGTAGCTTAGAGATACATTTATTTCAATGTTGACGAATAAAAGTATTAGTACATAAGTCATTGAATGTAACGATATCTTTTATGGCCACACGATGTCGCCCTTGTTCAACCAATTTTGTCCATGTATTTTTAATGCAGGATAGATGGATGGATGGATGGATGGATGGATAGATATATATGTAGATAGATAGATAGATAGATAGATAGATAGATAGGTAGATAGATAGATAGATATAGATGGATAGATAGATAGATAGGTAGATAATGGATAGATGGATGGATAGACACTTTATTCATCCCGCAAGGGGAAATTTGATCGTTACAGCAGCAGAAAATACTTAAGCAATTAAAGTAACAGAGTAAAATATACTAGATATAAAAAATGCACAGTATATGCAATGAAATAGTATAGTATTAAATTAACTAACTAAACAGTGGTACAAAGATCAACCAACAGCAAACAAACAACAGTGTAGCAGTGCTATAGTCTTGTGGATGATTTGACAACTAAGTAGAACCATTGCAAAAATGTCTAAATTTGTATTTGTATGACAGCATCAAAGTAAGCGTAAAATAACATGAAATAGCAATTTGACAAATCCACCCCAACTCAAGGTCCAGTGAGCTCACTTCAAACTCCATCCACTGATGATAACACAGTGTGACTGTTAACACCTCCAGAACAAAGCCAGTGAGTGGAGCTTGAGTTGGGATTGTTTGGTCAAACTAAATCACAGTAGATTTTTACAGATTTCAAATAGCCACACAAAGTATAGTTTACGCCACCTGACGTCAAAACTGATGCTTTATGGAAGGTCCAAGAGAGAGAACTCTCATGCAAACATACCTATGTTTGCCTATATAAAGCATACAGTAGGCCCATGTGTCTTTTTTGTACTGCCTGGCAGCAGCCCAGGATGTCATGTGCAGGTGTAAAAGGGAGAGGGCGGAGCGCACATCTCATCCTCGCAAATGTATGAGTTGCATGAACATGTCACTGACGTTTCTTGTCTCAGTGTAAATCTTATCCACTCCAATCTTATCGCAATGAATCGTTCCTCCACGACAATACAAAATCTAATGAACAACATCATTAATTCAAATGTGTTGTAAAGATAATATCAGACTTTATTCATCCCTGGGGGGAAATTACCCACCAGTATCTACAGGTAAAATCGTTACTAAAAACTGCATATGGTTTATGGCCTGGTTTTAAATGTTCTGTATGAGTAGTGCATTACGTGTAAGGAACACTGGGATAACATTGTATTTACAAAGAGATGTTTGTGCACATCTATAAATGGACTGATTATATGTGCAGTATGTACAGCCTGTTTTGACGAACAATGAACAGTAAAAAATATTATGTACACAGCACTGAACAATAAGAATAGTAGGCTTTGTATGCACAGTAAGATGATTTGGTGTTTTATTACACACATATTCATATCAAACTACTATAATTTGACAAAACCATTTCAGTGCATTAAGCTGAAAGTGCCCACATTCAAACATTTCAAAGAAAGTTTTGGGAAAAAACATAAATAAACGTGTCAACAACCGAAAGGAAAACATCTTTGCCCAACCCTTTGCAGCACTTAAAATTTCTTTAACCACACTTAACATTAACGCGATTAAAGTTCCATGCTATGTATCCTCTGATCGATGAAATAACCCTCTGATACAACTTGCGGGGAATGAGTGCTGCTTGTGCCTCTTGTATTCAGGTCTGCTGGTCAAATATATATAAACGTTTTTATGCGAGTGGCATCCTCTTACAAACCGTCTACACAATACTCTCGATAACAAATACTGTACACGTACATTCCTCTCTTTTTTCACAGTAGAACAACATTTTCTGTTACAGGAGACAAAAACAGTCTCATGTCTGTTCCTACACGTCTGTGTGTTTCTGTACGTATGTCTCTGGAGCCATAAGGCGTCCTCCCGTGACAGTTGAACAGATGCCTGGTACGAGGGGAGACACCTTAACGTTGTCTGACACTCATGTGCAAAACCCATAAAACAATACGAGCATTTAGAAGCAAATTCAGACCAACAATAACTGAAGGATTTCAGCTGAATAACCTGTCTGCCTTCTTCACCCTTTCTCCTCACCCTCCCCTCCATCTCCTCCTCGCCTGTTCCTAGCCTCATCCGGTCCGCCTCCCTTCCCAATCCCACTTCCCAGCCCAAAAATAATACAATAACAGGATTAATAACAGCATGCATTCACTCGGACAGCCTGTTGAGTGTGTGGATATTTACACAGCAGCTCCGGGAGGAAAAGTACAGGGGCCATTACATTCTTCTATTTCAAATAGGGAGAGCTGTTAATGATGTGTAAAGGGTGAGACTCAGGGAGTCCTTGTCCTGCCCAGGTAAACATTGTCTTCTTGTTTTCAGGATGTTAGTGTACTCGTCTGAGGAGTCATTTCCACTGTGCTCGCAGAAACAGCTTCTGCTCTTTGCTACAAACAAACAATTCTCTCAAATATACAGACCAGACGTCCAGACAGAGAAACACAACATTAGCACGGTTATTTCACTAATGATGCAAACTCATACTGCAGACTCTCTACATACGGGAGGCAGTGTTAGAAATCTATACTTCAGTATGTCAGTGGTTATGTATGTGTAGATTTATATACATCAGAGTTCCTTTGAACATATAATAGTTTTGCACATCTGTTACAGAGCCGAATCAGTTCGGTCGATTACCTCCGTGATTGGATGATTAATAAGCTGTTAAAATGTTGTATGCATTATTATTTGTCCTCTCATGGAGCTGATGTGTGAGTTCATAGTTGTCTAAATGGGTTATATTAATTCTGAAGGATGATAATTTATATAGAAACTGGCATGGTGTTGATTATTGCAATGTCACATTAATCTCCTCAATCCCACAGAGCCTTCAGCAGGTCCATCACAATGAGCTCATACTATGTGAACGAACAGACGTTTATCTTGAATTCTCCTGGTTGGTGAGTGTCTCTTTGAGTGACATTGTGATAAGTAAAGGCTGGGGCTGGGACTTTTGGGCCCCTGGGCCTGTGCCCGGTAGGCCCGGTCAGTATCCATCAATGATCACAAGGTTTACAAATGTATGACTCAAAAGAACACCCAGACATGATCAGATAATGCTATGAACTACACCTCAGAGATTTGAAAACTTAAAGCTGTAACAAAAAGAATAGAGAAATCAGAAGCATAGAGGTTGACGGGGTCAGTATTGACCATTTTGCTGTTTGTGTCTGTACAAGGAACAAGCTCTGGCATAAAGTGTCACTGCAGTCTCGCCTGTTGGCTCTGACACTTGTTTACCGGGATTCTCAGACAGTCAGGCCTCTGGGCACAGCCTCACAGAGCTTCAGCCGGTGATAAGAATGGTTTAGCCGTGGTGCTGCTGAGGTAAGCAGTTTGCAGTCAGGTTTTCCTGGCCGTCTGCAGATCTGTGGAATTTCTCTCCTCCTCGCCATCTCCAGCGGGGAAGGCAGGGGCGACCGGCAGCTCTGGCTATCCTGCAGGCCCTGCGGCCACATCGACCTGCCCTGAGCAAACAGCACCTGAGCGGCCGAGGAGGCTCTGCCCTGACCCTCTGTCACACTCAAATTCACATCAGTGGATCTCCGACGGCTCTCTGACCAAAGATGGTTTGGGCTCCATAGAGACGCCATATTTGGATAAGAGGATGAGTGAAATCTGGCGTTATGAAATAGGTTTCAATCCCAGTGTGATGTGGATATCTGCAGACTTTCCTCATCTCTGATACTCTCTTCTGTCTTACCACCTTTTTGATCCATGTACCTTTATCTTAACAGCAAAGGAAAGTCACCTGTACAGTTACAGGGTGTCACAATCTGGCTCGTGAGGCCAGATTGACAAAGTTTGAGACACACTTAAAACAAACTGCGATTAACTAAATGCACAACAAATCTAAAAAATAAATCAAACACATGAAGACTGGAGGTCAGAGGGATCAGTGGTGCAGGTTGTGCGTGAGAGAGGAGATAGTGTTAATGTTGTGGGGTGCATGTAAATAAAGTAAAGCAAAGAACCGAAGCAGAACTACAGCTGCAACACAACCAAATGGGTGGCTGCAGGGAAGGAGAGAGGGAGACTGTTAGACTGGGAACAGTGGTTGGCACTAATGATCGCCTGCCACCAGGTGTCTGAAAAACGACAGATTGGCAGGAATGAGCAGAGGATGTCACAAGAGAGGTTTTGTACTTTTTATTCAGCTACATTGTTCAGCAACAGATATACAGTTACAACAGTTATACTTTTCAGTTTAATATTTCACCAACAATAAACATAATGCTAAAATACCAAATTAAACCAGTGGTTAGGAACTACAGAACCAAACCACAAATGCTTCTTATCCAGTATTAATACTTTGTTATACATAATAATATATCTGTCACAGGAGGCATTATACTGCAGAACCAGTACATTTATATTTGAAGTATACATTTTGATGATGATACTGATGTACTTTTACTTAGGTATATTTTGAATGAGTATTTTTACATTATTGTATTAGTACCTCCACTTCAATTAAAAGATCTGAATACATCCTTCACTGCTGTATTACTGTGTTCCAACACTGAATATACACTAATGTAAGGAATTCTCTAAAACTTTCTTCTGGTTTTCTTGGCGCCTTCATAGCGAGTGTGAATTAACAGACGGAGATCATCAACAGCAACAGATGCTGCAGCACCGTACAGAAAATACACTCTATGACCTCAGCTCCCACCTGCCTGCATATCCATCTCATGAACATCCTGGAAGAGTTTCCTTCTTTCAACATAAGGCTTCGCATACAAGTTGCTGAGATCTCCCACTTTACAAGGACTTTAT